CGAGCAGACATTATCTTATTTAAAGTATTTGATGAACTCTTGTATTTGGCACAGTGAACCTTCAATTCTAAGATTACTCCACTATATTGTAACTCTTTTAATTGCAAAAATTTTACATAATTATGAATTTGAATTAGAATTCTTAATTCTAGCTCTATTGTCTTACAGTGGCGTTTCTAATATGGTGTCTTGGCGCACTCTTTTTTAATTAATTCTTATTCAAATATTATTTTGCCCATCACTTATTTGTTTTTCATTTATTTTATAGCTACTGTTATCAAATTATCATATGCAGTTTTTCTACCTATGTACTGCTAGGGGCCTAATCAGCCTTATTAACCCGAGTTGAAATTAAGTTACTTAAGTCACTTGCCTACAGTGAACATTTAATTCCAAGATAACTTCAATATACTGTAACTCTTTCAATTGCAAAAATTTTACTTAATTATGAATTTGAATTAGGAATCTTAATTCTAGTTGTATTGTCTTACTGTGGCGTTTCTAATATGGTGTCTCGGCGCCCTCCTTTTTTATTAGTTCCTATTCAAATATTATTTTGCCTATTATTTATTTGTTTTTCATTTATTTTATGGCTATTGTTATCAAACTATCATATGCACTTTTTCTAGCTGTTGTGGAGAAATTGCAGTATAATAAGGCTCTTGTGTCGGACGTATTTTTTTGTGCAGACCCAGTGTTAGGTATACTAAAAGTCTTTACAACTGATTCTGAGGGTCAGTTCGCAAATCGTAATAACTAATAATGATCAATAACAAGTATTAGTAGTAACAACGATTAGTAATAATTAAGCAATAGACCACACTTTCTATCGGTTTACCGGCTTAATAACTCACGTGGGATGTTGGAGGAAGAAGAGAAGTTTGTAAATTACGAGCCGAAGGTGGCAATCTATAGTCTGCTTAGCAAGTTCTCACTCTGCCAGGCGTTTGAAGGGAGAAGGGGATGGGATAGATAAATGGAAAAGGGCTTTTTTCAGTACCCCACCTCTCCTCCCCAATTCGTAGTGCGTTTTCCAAGGTCATACATGGATTGAAAGAGTTTACTGCACTAAAATATATCCCATAGCTTTGATATATCTGTTACCATTATCAGGGGAAGCTGCTGCTGCGTTTCCACACGTATTGGAGTTATCAGGACCTCCTCCGGTACCAAACCCAATTCTGGAGTCACAAGTGCCACAATCGTTTTCCTGGTTAGCTATATAACCAATTCTTGCTTTAGCATGATTACTTAAAGTACCTACAGCATTGAAGCCCTCCTTGTTACAGTTCAGTTGCAAAGAGCCCTGCGCACCAATCAACTTCTTCCACTCGTCACGACCCAGTGAAGTAGCGCGGTATGTTCCATCAGCGATCAGTGAGTGCAGAGAGTTGGCTTGATTGTTAAAGACAATAAACCTGAGCTGTCCACTAATCTTCATACCGAGACAGATCTTGGAGAAAGGTGTGTTCCAATAGGTCGGTAACTTGGTCTCTTGTGAGTCAAACCCAGTCCTCCCGCCGGGGATGTTGTATTGGTTTTTATCACTCCAGTAGTGAGAGTCATAGTGAAACGTTGCCTAAAAAGAATTAAGAGGATTTAATTTATCCTTAAATGTAAATAACACAATGCATCACCCAAGGCAGGACCCTCATGAATCAGTAACACAGTTCGCGTAGAAGCTATCAATCTATACCCTACTTGCAGGCGGGTTA